CCTGCTGAGCAAGGAACTGGGACCTAGTGCACAGCTGGGATTACCAGCAGGATGGACCATGAGATGAAATGAAGATTTCTTAAAAACAGTTTTGATCTTGCCCACTGAATATCACATAGGATCCGAAAAGTCACCTGCACTGAGGACTTGGATTCTCTTGTTTTACTGCTGATGAGCTCTGTATTATCACTTAACATTAGAAAGAACAGACTCCAGTGTCTAAGGATTAGCCATCAGATTTGGTAAATGAGACACAATATTATCTTAAAGGGCTGTATAAGAGAAGAGCCAGCGGAAGAGGAAGCATGTTAAAGATAACATGTTTGATCACTAAGTTAGGTGCATTCCACTGCATTTCAGCCAGCAGTCAGGACTTGTTACTCTAGTGCTAGTAACTTAGATGGAGCAAAACACTGATTTCGTGACAAAGCAGAAGACAACCACTGACTAAAAACTCCAAGAACGGAATGAGTAATTCCCAGTTGCGTATGTGTGCACATACCTGGTACCAGAATGTCACCAGACAGAAAACCTGCAATGTGCTTAATGTAAGAAGGTACTGATTGCCATTGGAGGGGGGAGATTGGAAAAAGTATTGGTCAGGCTTGTTACTAAATCTTGCCTTGATTTTTTTGAGCTGTTAGCCTTTAGGATTTAATTGCTTGTTACCTCTTAATTTGCTCTTTCACCAGGGATTGTGAGTGAGAAACGGGTATGATCAGAAAAGTCAGAAAAGAGAAAACCTTTGCTTTTTTAACAGCTGATTTAGATATTAATGTAATTTGGAAATCGGACTTAGGAAGTTGCCCTACCTGGTATGCACGAAGGGAATTGCACTTCAGTCACCTTTCGTAGCTCATTGAACTAAGTCCCACAAGAACAGATAGGAGCACTCTTCACCGACTGGTTTTATTAACACATTTGAAGAATATGGGTCCATTCAGTATCCATCAGTCCAAATAAGAGGTTATAGGTCTGTAGGTAGACTGAGATCCCAGACATTCTGCTGCCCTGGTGGGCTCTTCCAGACGGAGGAAAGGGTTTGCATTTAGAGAGTTGTCAGGCCTCAGGCCTGGCAAAGTGCAAAGTTCTGGATTAAGAGACAGTGTCTATATTGCTTGTTCTTTGTATGCAGAGAGCTTTGATCTGATAAAATCTTACCGATTTACTCTTTATGTTCCGTATTTTGGGAGCATTTAACAGGAGTTCATTCCCTTGCTCACCTTCCTTTCTCTTTCTTTAGCAAGTGCTGCTGCCCCCACCTCCTGTTTAGTGGAGAGTGAGTATAATGGAAAAAGGTTGTCTTTGCTCCACTTTGCTCTGCATGCATCTCCTCACTGCCTGTGGTGTAGTCTGCCTAACATCCTTGAGTGGTTTTTGTTTGTTTTGGTTTGTTTTGTTTTTTTCCTGAGGGAAAACTAAATCTTCTGGTAGAGAAGTTGCAGATAAACACAGATTTGATTTTCCAAGACAGACAGGAAAACTACAGACAGCTTAGCTTCCAAATGCACTGGCCTGGTGAAGGAAAAGAGATCAAGAGAAAGATTCAGTGAAACCCTGCCCGTACCAAAGCTAGCAAATGCTTTGTGATTGGCCTTTAGCATTAAGATTTCCTGTCAGTTAGTGTTCCATTCTCAGAGAAATTTTATGCGATGCGCTCAGCTCCTGTGATGGGAGGCCAAATTTCTTTAAATCACCTTGGCGCAACAAACAAGAAAAAGAGTTTAGCTTCTTAGCTAAATAGACGGGGGATACTACAGTGAATGACTTGTGCCTCTATAAGCCTGTTGCTAAGTCACATCTTTTTTTTTTTTTTTTATAACTGTATAATCAGATTTAAGCTGCAAACCGTACAAGGGTCTCCTACTCTCCCCTCACGTCAGCAGGACTGATGCCAGCATGGGAGAGGAAAAGGAGTTAACCTAAGACATGCGATTTACCCCACCCTGCAGCTGTAGTGTTCCTCTGCCCAATCCAGAAGACATCGCAAGTCTTTTATCTTTGAGGATGTTATATAGTGTAGCAGAAAAATCCCTTATAGCTGTCTCAGTTATGCTGCATTCTCCCTGTGGCTTTTGGAAACAGAGATTTATATTCATTCTTCTTTGTCCTTCTCTCCTGGTAGTCCTAGAATTTGATGCTCATACAGTCTGTCTTTCTCCTTGGGAGTGGAGTGCTTAGTAGTATTCCTCAGGGGCTTCCAGCCTAACACCTTCCCTCAAAAATACCTTATTTCTCCTTGTTTTAGTACTTCTTTTAATGCATGTCTTTTTTTTTTCCTTTTTTTTCTTTTTTTTTGACAAAGCAAAGGAACAGTCATCTTTCTTTTTCCTCTTTTTCCAATTCTGCTTCCTGTTTTTTTTTTTTTTTTTTTGTAAGAGTGCTGGCTAACAAGAAAGGAAAGGAGATTATGAATGCACAGTACAGAGGAGTTTATCTGGTGGCCATGCGCAAGTAGCAGAAGTGAGGACATTCCCTTAAAGCTAACCAAGTGCATATAGTACTTGCCTTTTGAAAACCCTGGTCTCAGCGTCCATCTACGTGAATAGAAAAAGTAGTTCAGGGTGGATATTTGGTCTTGTCTTGGCAGCGTTCATATCTATTTTGTGGCCAGAGCAGCGCAAAAAGTGGGTTCCAACTCCCTGAAAGTCTGCCAAAGATAACCAACGGGTTTTCTTGTTACAAGTTATTGATGGAACAAGGGTAATCAACTGAAATCCAAGGGTGCGTCTTCCCCTAGGTGACGAACACCCAGGAATAGGGGATGAAGTAACCCATCAACAAGGGTGCTCAATCCTTGTTAGACTGTAAGATCTTTTTTCCTTGTTCTCTCTGACCGTGTCTGGGCCTCAGTTCATGGAGGTGAGGAAGGACAGGAGGGTAAGTTTTCATTACTCCTTGCTCCTACCTCTTTTATAGCTGGGCCTCGCTAAAGGCAGAGATGGGATGCTGCTCTAGAGGGCCTCCTAGAAATTCCAGTGTTTACCTCGATAGCCATAAGTTTCAAGTGAACCTACATTGTTATTTGGGACAAAATCAGGCAAAAATGCTGCAGCTGTTCCTGAAACTGGATTCAGAACTTTAAAACTCTTAAGGATGAAAACATCAGTAGGAACCTTTGGCGGGTAGCTTACTGCAGGAACCATGCAGCTCAGGCTCCTCTGTGACCTAGGAAGAGCCTGCATTAGGTGACAGAACTCTCCCCATGGAGAGTTGTACAATATTAGCAGCACAGTGCAATTTTTGTCAGCTCTTCAGGTGATACACATCTGGCACAGGGATTCATTATCATTCTCACTCCCTCCTCATTAGACCTCCTCCATGTTTTCCATCCTATAACCCCTGCCCCCATCTCTCATAATTTAC